GCTCACAGCCTCATCCCAATTTGGAGTCACTCAAGACATCCTTGATTAAGGCAGCCGCCGATATTGACATGGACCTCGTTCGTGCTGCGATAGACGACTGACCGTGCAGATTGAAGGCCTATATTCAAAATCACGGAGTTCATTTTGAATAAACTTTAGTGTTATAAGAATCTATGTTTTGTTAAGTTCATTTTGGTATATGAATGGTTACATAATGAATAAACTTGTTTCAATTATTTTACATTAAACATGTGACAGAATTTATGACCTGACTAGGTATATGCAATCATGATCAGCCTGCAGTCGTCCATTCCTGATCCTGCGGACAGAATAGAAAGCAGTCGACGACACCCCAAACACGGCTCGACGAGTAAAATAACCCTCAGACACAGCCCACTGAGTTTCTCGCCGGATCTTCTCAGCGGGTCGCGATTCCGATCCGGTGGTAGATTCTGCGAAGCACGACTCTTGCTAGGGTTCGTGTTAGCAACACCGTCAGATTTGAGCCCCGTGAGCTCACCTACTAGTTAAGGTTACGCTGAAATAGCCTCTCAAGGCTCTCAGCTTAGGTAGGGAAAAAAAACCACAGTCGTCCACTGCTCTACATAGGCCTCCCAATCCATACTACTGAGCCCGGTCTTCGGCTCTTCACTTCTTGCTGGCCATCGTTCGCAGGTCATTGCACCACTTAGCCAGGGGTCGCCCTACGTTACGTCTTCCGCTGCGCGGTCTACACTCGAGAACCCGTCCGCTCCAGCGAGCGTCAGTTCTACGGCACATATGGTCAGCCCACTGCCACTTCAGCTTGCTGACTCTTTGAGCAATGTCGATGACTGTAGTTCTCTGCATGTTGTATATGCATGCCCACCTATTTATTAAGTAAATAAAACTATTTATGAAACTATTCCGTTGGCGTAAGGATCGTAGTTTGTACTTATTAGTACTTATGTGCGAAAGTTATTGAAAAATTTTTAGTGAAAAAGTTTTTTCCTGTTTAACGAGTAACACTCATGAATACGCTTGATGTTCATGGGTAGCGACTTAAGATCAGGTAGGCTCTTTCATCCATCTTTATTGATAAAAAAAATCATCGTGAGGTTTTAAGTCGTAGAGCTTTTAAAGACACAGATTATTTCTCAATAGTAACAGACTGGGTTCTTCTGGATTTTTGCTGGATTAAACTTCTTACTATTGCGGGGCACATACGGGTTAGATCACCACCCGTAGTTGGATGTTTTGGTTTCATGGCTTTACTACACGATGTTAATCAAATCAAATCAAATCAAAAATTTTTTATTCAACATAAATGAAAGTACATACTTGTTGAACGTCAAAAGAACTACCGCCAATTCACAAGAACTAGCCTCCGTCCTGAGAAGAATTGGCAAGAAACTCAGCGGGCATGTCTTTTTTTTTTACATATAAAATTATTATTTATTTATTTTTTAATATATTTTTTTTTAATTATGAATTTTTTTTTTTTACACTGAGTAATCCTTCGTGATGTCGTTCGTGAGCAAGAAATTGTAGCCGCCAGATGACTTCAATTCCGACCACTAAATTAGGCCATGGACGTTTCAAATGAACCTTTTTTCATTGCACGTAATGGAAAATAACAAAAATCTGCTGATAGGTTTTTTTTTTTTTTTTTTTTTTTTTTTNTTTTTACCTGTCTAACGGGTAACACTCATAAATACGCTTGATGTTTATGAGTAACAACTTAAGATCAGGTAGGCTCGTTCATCCATCTTTATTGTTAAAAAAAATCATCCTGAGGTTTTAAGTCGCACAGCTTTCAAAGACATACAGATTATTTCTCAATAGTAACAGACTGGGTTTTTCTGGATTTTTGCTGGATTAAGCTTCCTACCAGTGCGGGTCACGACATACGGGTCAGATCAGCACCTGTAATTGGATGTTTTGCTTTCATGGCTTTACTACACGATGTTAATCCTTCATGGTGTCGTTCGTGAGCAAGAAATTGTACCTGCCAGATGACTTCAATTCCGACCACTAAATTAGGCCATGGACGTTTCAAATGAACCTTTTTTCATTGCACGTAATGGAAAATAACAAAAATCTGCTGACACGTAGAGCCTACTGACGTGACTGGAGTGAGAAGGTTGGGCTTACACCAGCTCTCCTCGATTTACATTGAAGTTTGACGTTTAGTTTAGTAAACGACTTTTGTAATTGAAATAAAGCCGCATGTCAAGTAGATCACCAATTACCATGCTTTCGATGGAAATACGAGAAATTGACAGGCTTTTTTTTACCTATGCTGATAGACTTGAGATGTTATTTCAGCTATACCCTAGCGTGTAGGTGAGCTCTCGGGGCTCAAAACGGAAGTATTGCTAACACTGACCCTAGCAAGAGCCGTGCTTCGCAGAATCTACCACCGGATCGGAAACGCAACCCACTAAGAAGATCCGGCGAGAAACTCAGTGGGCTAATTGTTAAACATGTCTTATAGGTAGGTTTTTAACTTGTAATGTGTTTAATGGTGGTTTCTGTACAATGTATTAGTTATTCGTGATTTACGCATGATAAAAGATTTTATCTCTTTGCGTGTATTAATGTAAATAATATTTTAGTAGCTGAGTCTGAAACTGCGTATGGGTGGGTGTAGGTGGTCGGAAACACATTTTCAAATTAAACTATGTAAACAGCTATTCATACATATAACGCCATCTATCGAGAACTACTGCGAACTACGCACATGTTACTGATACTTTAATCATTTTTAGATTCAATCATATCTACCAGTTATTGATTTTAATAGATTATTTTAATTTTAATTTTAATAAAAACATCTAAATACACATGATATTATAATGCGTATTGCGTTATATGTATACTATAAACCTACATATTTTTATGTAGGCATAGAGTAATTTATTTTTCAGTTTTCATCCTAAATTTATATAAAAATAGGCAGAAAAAACAGATAAGTACCATTTTCTCCTGTGTTGGTTAACCGATTTGCTTTATTTACTAGTCTAACTGCAGAGAGTACTCAGTGGTAGGTGTCTTGTGCGACGGTAACCACCCAGCAGTTGACTCATTGCTCGTAAGCCGACAAAGTCCATACAAAAAAAAGCAATGATTGAGCTTCAATGAAAAAAAGGTGGAAATTTCCTACCCAAAAAAAAGTGTTCCTTTCATGGTTCACCTTTGTGAGTTTCTTTAATCCCACCCATAGCTTTTAAGCGCCTGAACAGAATCGGAAGCTCTAGTTTCGTTAGAGACTTTACATGATCTCAATTGAAAGCAACATTCCCCACTTTTACAAGGTAACGTCAATAAATAGAGAAGAAAATGCAGAAAATATAAAAATTTTAACGGTAGACAGCGGCTTGGCTCTGCCCCTGGCATTACTGACGTCAATGACAACGGTAACCACTCACCATGAGGCGGGCCGTATGCTCGTCTGCCTACGAGGGCAATAAAAATGTAACTATTACGTTACGTTTGGTGTAGCTAGGATAGCCCCCGGGCGGCACGACCCCAAAAAGGACGAAGAGCGATTCACCCAGTTCTCCCGATCTTGCGGACAGAATGGAAAGCAGTCGACGTCGCCCAAAACACGTCATTTCGGATCCTCCCGATCCACTAATGGTGCTTTTAGGTACCTCAAGCACCGGCCATCGTTCTCGTCGCTTGCGACGAAGGGCTCGACGAGTAAATTAACCCTCAGACACAGCCCACTGAGTTTCTTGCCGGATCTTCTCAGTGGGTCGCGTTTTCGATCTGTTGGTAGATTCTGCAAAGCACTGCTCTTGCTTAAGGTTAGTGTTAGCAACGTCGTCAGGTTTAAGCCCCGTTAGCTCACCTACTTCTTAGAGCTACGCTGAAATGGTCTCATAAGACCATCAGCATAGCTAAGAAAGAAAAAAAAACAGACCAAAATGGAAAAGGCAATAAAAACCAGTTCAATTTGAAAGTTTATTTTTGCTTATAATTAAATGTGTACATAACAATTAAAATAAAATAAAATCACAAGCTCTAATTACCAGTGCGTTTAGAGGAATAAAAAGCTACAGTACTTCCATAACATTAATCTAACAATGTGGCTTGTTTACCATTCACATTGGGGTATATTGGAATCGTTCCCGAAGCGAACACTAAGCCATTAACCCTGAGCAGTGACCGGCAACCTAATAAAGATAATCTCTCTCTCTTCAATCGGACCCTCACTGCTGAGGATCGTGACTCCGTCCAATTCCGTCAACTAGCTGTCTCCATCGATCCCTTTCTGTAGCTTGGTCGAGTGGAGTAAAGACAATACTCAATTGAAATTTATTCAGAGAATCATTTTATTTAACATGTACTTTGTCCCTTACAAGGCAAGATAATAAGTAATATTCTGTGCCTGGATTAAATATTTCGCAAAGAGCTGTAGTCCGGGAGTCAAGGAGTCTTAGTTTAGAGTAAACAGATATTAAATCCTCGACCTCACGTCTCAAGGTGGGCGGCAGAATACAAGGGTTCCGACATAGCCACATAGACCGTGAGCCCATTTATTGACGGTGAAACAGAATTAATTTATTTATTTATGCATTGCCATGTCAAAAACGTTGCAACCTTGGATAAATTTGAAAATTCAGCTAAGCACTATTCTTGCTCGGGCCTAACAGTGTTAGTAAATTCTATGAGTGATTTTCAGTGTAGCAAATGTCAATCAAATATATTATAACCCCATGTCTTCGAATCGGTTCCAATACATACATCCTTTATTGCATAATTAATACATGAAAGTCTAATAAAATTATTTTTAACACTTTATGAACTTGCCCTATATGTAATCGTTCAACTTATTTTTCACGAATGTCAAAATATCCAATTTACTTAAAAATTTAATTTACTTCAAGGTTGATAATACAATAATTTTATAGCATTGGTCTAATGGCCTGACCAAGATGACCAGAATAATAAAATAAAAATCGGCTTTCCATTAAGCATGTTTTGTTGCTTTTTCAACTATATATTTAGTTGTAATCTCGAGTAATACAAAGTGGTTGAGATTAAATCTAATACTGTATTTTTGTGTGTGTTATGGCTAATCCCACCACTCTTGGACTGAAGACATTCCCATTGTAATCCATCTATGGGTTCGGGTAGCCGCTTCCATTTTAGCAAGCAAAAAGGAGACTGAGCTGTTGATACTATGCATTAAGTTTTAGATCTAAAATACATCCACTTATTAATAAATTTTGATAATTTGTATTCTAAGAATTACCTGCTTCTAGGGGATACAAAAATCACAATAAGGACACTTTGAAGTAAAAATTCGAATAAAATAAATGCACCACACCAATGACTAGTAAATGCACAAGTAGATTTTAAGTATCATAGATTAAATTTAAACGATTATATATAGAACAGTCGTACTCTAGAGGTTGTGATCAGCAAATCTCCATCAAAAAATTTCGTTTCGATAACCACGTTCCCACTGAAAATAGAAAATTCCATAATTAGTATATAATAATTCGTAATTGCAAAATATTTACACATTAATTTAATGCCAATTGCATTTTTTTTGGAACAGTTTTAAAATTTCCCGCCAAAATACTTGAGCTCTGGTCAGACGTTTGACATATTTAATTAGTTGTTTGGAGATCAAGGGTTCTATCCAGGATATCCCTACTGGAAAACATTCTAATTTATCTTGGCAGCGAAATAAATTGTAATCTGATCCTTGTAACCAAGACTTAAAAGTGGACTATTAACCCTAATAAAGAAACTGGCAATTTGGCAGTTTTCACATATTCAGGTGTTATGAATTCTAATTCTATTTATCTATTTATAAAATTAGAATAATTCCAAAAATTTTCTTCAGCCCTAGTGATAATTCTACGCAACCAACTCATGTTCTCAGGTCTCGGAGTGGTAGTATTAACATTTAGTTTGAGGTTATTTTGGGCTCTGGTAACCAGGTAACATGATAAAGGCAGTGTACCTGGCCTAATGGGTGCCGCACTTTTTATCTTACAATAAGTATGTTGTACTAAATAAATGCAAACTTTCGATTAATTAGTAGTGTAGATAGGCTGTACTATGATTCCGCTCAGGTAAATATCACCACTCATATTTCTACAGAAAAGCTCCCATATCTGTCGATATTATACAATATGTAACAGACATAGGCCACATGTTTTCAGGTTAGTCACCACAAGCACTTCATAGTGTATTTGGGTTTCAGTTCAGTATCACCTCAATGTGAGCTGTAGCCTCATCTGCCCATCTATGCTAATTTATATTGAAATTTTATATACTATCAAACTTACTTGAGGACATTGGCCGGCATCATTTGCGATTCAGGCGCTGACTCTATAACGGATTGCCAAGTGTTCGTTGAGTTCGGGATCACATAACCAAAATCGAAAAACCATTCTTCTAAACATCTCCCTTTGAAGAGTACTTTCTATAACAAGAAACATTTAGTTTTTTTAGTGCTCAAATCAGTTATATATTTTCTATTGCTGTAGGTGTGAGTAGCTTAAAATCCATGTGTTATTAATGAAGTTAGTACCGAATTACCAAATAATAAAATGTTTATCTATGTAAAAATTATATTTTATATCTAATTAGATTGGTAATGTTATATTTAATTCTAAGTGTACTACAGTTAGATGCAGAATTGGATAGTTTTCAATTCTATAATTCTGTGAACACTTAATTCAAGTCAACTACTAACTACATCTAACAACTAGATGGATGAAATATTTTTGAAAAAATATGATAGAAATATGGAGCAGAGCTTGGATTCAGACAGTTCTAAGTTGTCACATCTGTGACCAATCATACTGATAGATGCTGATGGTGATGTTATTTTAATAAGCAAACATTTCACACTATACAGTCTAAGCCAGAAATTTCTCTCATGTTCTGGATACCAGAAACATACATATAAGACAGGAAGATGTATACTCAATACTCAGAATTGAATAACAGCTTGATAAATATAATTAATTGAAAAAATTATAGATGCCGCGAACAAATCACTGGGTTTTGTACTTAGGAATGGTAAGGAGTTTAAGAAGGTTTCCACTACGCTATTGCTTTACAACAGTTATGTTAGAAGCAAACTTGATTACTGCAGCACTGTGTGGTGTCCTACATACAAAACCCATATTAACAGGATTGAGAGAATTCAAAAAAAGTTACTTCGCCACATGTCGTACCGTTTTAGGCCGCCTAATTATGTTGAATCTTATGTTGATAGGGCTAAATATTTTAAAATGCAAACATTGAGTGATCGCCGCGATATGTTAGGCTTATGTTTTTTACATCAAGTTATGAGCGGTACTGTCGACTCCCAATTCATCCTCAATAAATTCTCTTTGAAGGTGCCATCTAGGTTACCTCGTCGCCCCGTTGCTCTTTTCAGCACCCGCTTTAGCAGAACCAATCTAGGCAAGCACTCACCTACTCCTCGTCTAACTAACCTTTATAATAATCTTGTTAGAAAAGTTGAAAACCTTGACATATTTGGCGATTCCCTTCCAATATTTAAGAACAAAATTATAAAAAGTTGTTGTTGAACCTCAGCCTCAGCCTTGGTCTGAGTACTCGGGTATTACTGCCCTTGTTGTCTTTCTTTTGTTTTTAATTTTTTATTATTATTAATAGTATTGTTAAATCTCTATTAATATATTAATGTAATGCATGCTGTGATTGCCTATAATTAGAGTTGCAGTTATCAATTGCTCTATACATGTCAATGTTATTTTATGTCTTACTGTAAACCCTGTCGGTAATCCTTAAATAAATAAATAAATAAATAAATAAATAAATAAATAAATAATTCCACCTAAATCAGAACTATCATGACACTTTTTCTTATTCTTATTCTTGCCTTCATACAATGATGACTTTTTTTCCATTCAGGTCTATCATACATCATATTTGCCCATACACACCATTTTCACTCATATCCCCTTTCACATATTCCCTCCAAGTCTATTTAGGACGCTCCCTCCTTTAAGCATCTACTGAACACTAATCAACACTGTCTAGTCTATCTAACCTACAACATACTGTTTTTAATATTTCTGACTCATCGGCTACATAAATAATGTAATATATGATGCTTGTAGTTGGAAACTAGTTCTACTTTAATTGCTTACTACTGTGATATAGTCTCTTCAATATAGATTAAATTATATCTTAACACTAGCGACCCGCCCTCGCTTCGCTTCGGAAACATTAAATTTTATTATTGATTGATAGGCCAAGCCCGCCATGTAGCGCGCGGTACGACAATAACTGCGGGAGACGCCGCGGGGTGAAGCTAGTCTAAAAGAAGTAGCCTAAGTTACTCCTTATATAATCAGCTACCTATTAGTGAGTCTCATCAAAATTGGTCCAGCCGTTCCAGAGATTAGCCGGAACAAACAGACAGACAGACAGAAAAAAATTGTAAAAAATGTTATTTTGGTGTATGTACCGTATATATATTCATATGCATGTAGTAAAAAGCTGTTATTTCAATACTACAAACAGACACTCTAATTTTATTTATATGTATAGATGTACCTGTTCTAATCTAAATCTATCCATGGATTCTATTGAGCTGAAGTTCATTTCACGAGACACTACTCTGCACTTGAGAATTCTTTTGGGTACTCTTGCTTCGTGTTCCGCATCTGGACTTGACATGTCCTCATTATGTTGCCAAAGAATTTTTCCTGAAAAATAATTATTAATAAAATAAATATAAATGTGCAATAGGGGAAAAATAATAACATTGCTGTTACTTAAGTATCTAAAAGTAGTTTGATTTTTATTTATGCAACTTTATAACATGAGAAAAAAAATTGTCGCACTTTGCACGCCCGCGATATGTTATTACAGTTTTGAGTATTATTATTATGTGTTGAGTATGTATATTTTATACAACAATCATCAGCAGTCTGGTGAAGCTACTTGTAGGATTTTTAAATACTAGAAAACATTTAATAAATCTTGCTCCTGGAGTGGTTTCATAGTTTTGTTTGAGGCTATTCCAGTTACGCCCGGATGGGACAATGGCATTGAAAAAGATTCTCTTAGCTTATGTATTTGTATCCTATTTTTATTCTATTACAGACAAACAAGCTTATGTTCCATCTCATTATATAATTACACGAGCACATAGACATCCCAATGTAAAAACAATTAACCACCTTGGGACCCAAGATTAGTCATTTATTTATTTATTTTAATTTTTCATTCACATCAACTATAGCATCATATAACTTTTAATTATATTCTGTTGAGTATATTTAAAAAAACAAACAATGATATACACAATCAGTAACTGACTTGTTTGTCTTTGGAAATTGCATATCTAATTTACAGGAAAAACAAATTCTACTACTGATCTTAATTTTAATATATTTCAAACGTTTTTTTTTTCAATGACTAGATCTTTACCTGTGTCAGCATCACGAAGATTCATCCAATTACTGACGTTGCAATGTTAAAAAATTATTGACAATTGTTAAGTAAAACACATTGAAATGATGTATCTATTTATTTTTAACGTTGTTTATAATCAATTAGGGAACACGTGTTAAATACATCAATTGAGGATGTATTATTTTTACATTTTCAGGTACATTTTCAAACTTTAATTGTGGGACTAGTGTGGGAAACAACAGCATAATCGTGGGAGGAAATTCAATCCAAAAGTGGTGCACAGTACAAATGCTTAGGTACTGAATTACTATGGAACAGCATTATGTTTGCAGACGATGGGCCTAATAATGCAAAAATACTTTTTAAAAGAATAGGCAGGACTTGGTTTAAAGTCTCTCGACAGTCGGGTAATCATCCAAAAAGCAAAAAAAGACGTGCCCTGCTAGACGTAACGCCACGACTTACTCGTCAACTATTCGATTTTAAAGGATCTCAACTCACAATGGCATTATGGGCAATATAAGAAAAAGAGCATATGTAAAGGATACATTTGAAATCCCTTCAGAATAGTCTCCACACGATCATTTTTATCTCGTTCAGTTGTTAGAACGTCAGTCATATTTGCGAAAATAAAAGTGCAATTCCTATTTTATATGATTATGTTTTTGATTGCTGATTTTCTTAACAGCGAACTGAACTGTGTTTATTTTTCTGTCTAACAAAATACTCTAAACAATTAGTGTTTATTTTATGACTCTAAATTCAATTACGAACACAATATTGTTCACAGAGTTCACATTCACATTGAAAAATGAAAACCTCTTTTTCTGGGTTTTTTTTGCAAGCTCCATAAATTAAGTCTATGGTCTTTTTTTATGACCTGGTAACATAGACCTTTAGGTTGTTTTTGGTGGGAACGCGAGGAGTGAAGTTGTGGGATTTGTTTTATTTTATCTATTTAGTGTTTCTTCAGGTTTAAATGTGTAATAACGGTGGTTTATTAACTGTTTGATATCTGTGAAAGTGCACAAATGTGGGAAAACGAAACAAAGCCACTGGACATAGCTTCTCGGGATCCTCCAGAGAGTTAGTATTATTATTAACTCCATGGGATCCTCCAATTAACGTCATCATATGACATATGACATAACATCATATGAATAGAATGTAAATAGAATACAAATAGAATGTAATGAAATAAATGAGTTCAAAATCACTGCGGTCTTAATGGGACAACTTATTTTCCATAGTACGAATATTTTGGTTTTTAGATTATTAATTATTTATTGTAATTAGTGTGGTTTATTTATTGTTTTGATATTTTCTCAGATAATTATGTAATATCAATGAAGTTACGACTGTCATGTATGTTATTTATATTATCGTAATAAAAACATCATCAAAGACCAAAGTATGGGACATCAACATTGCGGCTGCTATGGTCAAATTTTTTGAGAAATGCTCAGTAACTAATATTTTAATCTGTGAACTACTACAGAGCATTTTCCAGAGTCTCAGACTATAAATTCCAAATTTTAAATTCATTTTACAGTAATTCACAAATGTCGATTCAGTCCAACAGGCTTTTTATATGACAGCTTCAAAACGATCTTGTGCACATCAATATCAAATCGACTAAACCACAAAATCGAATCAACGATTGTGCACTTTCTTTGCCAAAAGATACAGTAGCCAATGGCCGTAACAAAAAAAAGAAAATTTCACAAAAATCTCAATTTGTAATTTTGTACATAGGTACCTACATAAAACACAATAATAGCCAATAGGTAAAATTATATGTTGTACTATGTAAATGTTGTTTGTTTAGTCCAAGAGGTGAACACAAAAAATATTTCTAAAATTTGTACCCTGCTAATGTTTACGTTATCACCGTATTTATGTAACTGGCCGTTTGAAATCACTACAGGATTATTAAGAATTTTCTATGAACCCGAAAAGCGAGTCTGTCGAAGCTTCGAGGTATGTATCTGTTTTATTTTTTCACTTTAATATTAATATTTAAAAATTCACATCACGTTGACCTATATGATTACCAAAATATATCTAAATTTTATTGTATTTGTTTCGTGCAGAAACAAAATGTTGATAGGGGTTATGAAGCATTACTTGCTATTTTAGTACCTTCCTTTATGCAAAAATAAAGTGTTGTTTGAAAATATATTTGTTACGTTTTGTAATAAATATATGCATTACTATTGTTCATCATTCAGGGGGAGCGAAGCATCATCATCATCGATAAATTCAACCCCTGACATTGTTGAAGACCAGCTAACATCAGGAAATATTATGAAGCGAGCCGCAGCCAAGCAGTTAATTGAAAAATATTTTTATCAACTGCTAGATGGTTGCGGAAATGTTAACTGTGATAACCGGTATTGTGCATCAAGTGGGGCGGTGAGTAATGAATGTTTTTTTTTTAAATTAAACTAACCACTGATTTGGTGAATATATTCAAATATTGTATTCAGATTTCTAGATATAAACACTATTGTTTAAACAGGCTGTATGGAAACACGAAAGTAGGAATACACCAATCGACTGCCATAAAATAAAAATTGTATTGTAAATACCAAATACTCTATTCATTTGCAAATCTAAGCATAATTTATTTATTTTATAAGTACTTATTGATAGTAACTACTATAGGAAGTTCATGTTTTGTCAATAGTAAAAATCATTAATACATATTAAAATAAAACTAACAAAATTATTGAACACAGATCAATGTAGAGCTGAATATAAATTTTGTTTCACTAAAATCTGATAACACTTGAAATTGGATAGATTAGGTAGTTTTGTAATTGACATATTCTGTAAATTTAAATGCTTGTTTTATAAAAAGTGATTACTTGGGTTCATAGTAGACATATATTGTATTTCACAAACTTATAAACTGTTACAATACTGGCTGGTCATTGAATACTCAGCTTTATTGTTCCAGTCTAACAATCCAATTTCACTATGTAATCTCAACAAGAATATAAATTTGAATAGATATATCAAAATCCGTTTCATAATATATATGTTGGTACACGTCAGAGATGGCTGAGCGGTAGTTTCGTCATCACTCGTATTCGATTGAACTCAGTTTAGTCAATAAAACTTTTTGAATAATAATTATTGAAACTCAACACACACAACTTTCACAATGACAGGATAAACCGACAGTTTCGATGCACATACCGACAGACCGACTGACTGTCAGAGACTCACTGCTGAGACGGACGGAATCACTGTCTGACACGAATGCCACGACTCTGTCCACGTACCGCCATTTTATACTGTGGCGTTACGGAGTCTACCCGTCATTTTTTGATATTTATCAAAACAACATTTCATCATTTAAAATAATAATCAAAACCACCGTCTTAATATTACTAAAAGTCGTTATCCACGACAACTAAAAGTCGTTATCCACGACGTATATATATATAACAAAAACCTTATCATGTAATTGATAATTAAAGTACCAATATTTTCTGGGATCCTGATGAATTTCTAATGTCAGATATTGAAATGATTAAAAATGATGCCAATTTATGAGTTCTTATGGTTAACATAAAAAAAATATACATATATGGTTAGTAAGTTGTCTTATGAAACCACACGGGTAGATATCACCATCCAATTTTTTTTCCATGTGGCTGTAATGTGTCCCTATTTGAAGGATGCAGCACTGTTTTACTATATATATGAGACTTAATCCTCATATCTCAAGGTGTGACGTGATACTAATGATGTTGAAAGTTCCAGTAATAGCATAATAATATATCAAATGGATGGGTGGCAGGCCACCCATAATTTCATCCTTTAACTATGTAGACATCATAAAACAAACCATTATTTAGATGGAAAGAGTTTACTGTATATTTAATTTTAAATAATTATTTTCCTCATAGTCACAAAAAAATTGAACAGAACTATACAACCAATAAGTATGATTTTTAGTATATGTAAGGCATATTTAAATTTTAAATGGATAATAATTATAAAAAAATAACAAAATGAAATTGAAATTGAAATTAAAAGGTACATAAATTAGGAACTTCTGAATTTGGTTTTAATATATAAAACTACAGGGTGCCCCAGAACTCAACGTCAACCCAAATCAGGGTGACAGAATTGATTGTAACCATCATGAGAAAAATGAGAAAAAAAACTATCCCATGCAATTTGGAAATTAAGGGCATTTAAGAAAAACCTAGAAATTTGTTGAGTTCTGGGACACCCTGTATAACGAGTAGTACTAAATTCTTTTTTTTTTCAGGCACGAAATTTGTCCCCCAATGAAGCTGCCGCAGAAGCAATAAAGTTATTCTACAAAGAAGCTCGCCTCTGTAGTTCTGTAACACCCAATAAAGTGTCTCGGACTGATTCTAATTCATATGAGCCAAGCCCAAGGTAATTTTTAATGCTGCTTCTTATTATATAGAACTAGAAGTAGACTCCTAGAGATCATTAGTATTTATTAAGTAATGCACTGCCTCAAGACGGAAGTCTGATTGATCTATGTTGCCAATGACAACAGGCTACACTAACATTTGACTATTTATAATAATTTAACAGTTATGTTTTTATAATTTTCCTGTACCTGATTAGAATGTCACCTTAATGTCTTGATCTGAATGAATATCTCATTAAAGCTAACTCATAAATGCAACTGGTTACCGATAGTAACTGTTATGATAGTATATAATCTTACTTTGTATGATATAACAGTTCGACACTTGGGCCGAATCACAAAAACACATCAGAGAATAAAGAGAATCAAAATATCACAACACCGGAGCCAAGCACTGCGTCACGAGGGGAACCCCATACTAGTCACACCGCACAGCAACAAAAACAAAAGAAAAGAAAACGCTATAACAGTAAGGATTATCAGAATGTTGTATTAGGTAGGCAGCACCTGGCTATGAATTATTTCAGTAATCTTATCAGTTCAAATACTGGGATATGACATATTTCTAGCCATTCTAGGCATTTTGAAGTCGTCGTGGCCTAAAGGATAAGACGTCCGGCGCATTCGTGTTGAAGCGATGCAACGGTGTTCGATTCCCGCAGGCGGGTACCAATTTTTCTAATGAAATACGTACTCAACAAATGTTTACGATTGACTTCCACGGTGAAGGAATAACATCGTGTAATAAAAATGAAACCCGCAAAATTATAATTTGCGTAATTACTGGTGGTAGGACCACTTGTGAGTCCGCGCGTATAGGTACCACCGCCCTGCCTATTTCTGCCGTGAAGCAATAATGCGTTTCGGTTTGAAGGGTGGGGCAGCCGTCGTAACTATACTGAGACTTTAGAACTTGTATCTCAAGGAGGGTGTCGCGTCTACGTTGTAGATGTCTATGGGCTCCAGTAACCACTTAACACCAGGTGGGCTGTGAGCTCGTCCACCCATCTAAGCAATAAAAAAAAAATATGCTGTGAAAAATATATGCGTCTTAGTTACATGAGTACGACGTTATTTACTATCAAGACCGTTTCTTCGAAGACTGGTACATATCTCACATTAGTCAAAACAGTTTATTTTTGATCCTACTACATAGGGTGCATTGAGGATTTTTCCGAAAATTAAGACCACCATGCGCCATACCAAGCGATGCGATGCCGCTGTTAGGTTTTTGCAGATTGGTACCAATATCTCCAAGGAAATCATCTGCAATATAAATTATTGTACCCCTAACCACTTAAATTCAGGTGGGCTGTGAACATGTTGATCCACTTAATGCGATGAAAAGGAAGGTGTATTTTGCTATTAAAACGTGTTTCAACAAAATTTGCCAAACTTAATATTTATTATTGTTCTGTGTAGTTCTTACTAGCACACTTAAGTCATCCATTAGAAAAATACCAATTAAGTATTATTAAATTTATTAATTGATTTTTCGTTTAATGATCCCTTATGGATATTTTTTTGTTTGTCACAAAAGAAACTTTAGTGAGCTAATAAATATGGGTAATGATCACTATTTGCCTAATTACCATTACACTGCACAAACAGAAAATGCAGCAGTTCAAAATTGTAGCTCAAGTGTAAAGTTATATGTGAAGTCGATTAAAATGAACGAAAGACAGTACAATTTTTTGATGAAAGCGTTAGATGATTTGTTGATACTATTGTCAGATGGAGCACCACTGACGGAGGAACGAATCTACAAGCTGTGTGATGAGTGTCTGCAGAATCGAGCCGAGGAGCCACTGTCGAAAGCATTGAGCAAAGCATTTTCACGACCCTCAATCCTCGCCAGATGTTTTGCTAGTAAAATTAGTGAAAATTCCAATGAAACATCGAAAGATACAGGTAACCATTTCGTTTATGTATCTATTTATTATTTAAACTTTTATTTATTTACTGTGTAACATACATATGTCTATATAATGAAATTTTAAAGCAATTAATTTACTTTAGAAATTACTTATTAAAATAAAGTAACAACAAATAAACATTATTGTATGATCATTCAAGCACACATTAACTACTAATTGTAAATTGAGAGAAACCACACACTTCTTCTATCGTTCCCTCACTACTGAGGATCGCGACCACATGCGACGTACTTCCATTGTGCTCGATCATGGATGGCATGGACTGCATGGTACAGACTACCATCAAGTGCTTCTCTTGCTAGGTCTGACCATCTGGCTGCTAAATTATACACACATCACTATATTTATACAAAATTACCATATTAATGTAAATGTATATTTTATTACAGAAAAAGAGTCCAAAGAGTCTTCGAGATCCTGCGACCCCGACAAGGACATCGACAGCGTCGCGGCGCCGCAGCTCGACGTCGCCTCGTGTCGCAGAGCCTTTCAGTATCTTGCCAAAGTGAGCACTCTTTTCTTCTACGAGCGAAACTATCAAACTTCAGTATTCAGAGGACTTGAGGGGATTTTATTATTATTATCCTCTTGATTAATGGAAATCTGCCGATACTTTCAGCAATTTCTGCCATTGTCGAGCTATTTAAACACACTTTATATTATGAAAAGTGTCCAATTTTGGCAATAATAATGGTGCCTGGAACAAACACAAAATTAATGTTACTATAAACTTACATATTATAATAAAGTTTATGTACAGAGAATAATGCACTATATATAATTATAATTTTATAGAGTTAGTAGTTATAAACTTAATAAAAGCACTTATAATACGGGGGTCTGGGAATAGTGAGAGGAGGTGGCGAACATTTACCGGCCGTTAAATTTTCAGTTCGCTAATAACTTGGTCCTATATGAATGGTCCTATACTGCCGTCGTCCAAACCACATTCACACAACAAAGACTTGAGGGAATTGATTGGTCTTATTTGTTACAAACTAATTTAAGCGGTATTTCTGGACCTTAACATAGATTTTTACAATAAATGAATAATTGGAATGGAACAAAAATATATAACCTTTTTTATTAATTCAAGACAACTTTATAGGTTTCTACTTTTATATAGTTAAAAGCTTAAATTGTTTTTGTCTATTGTATGTCAAACCACAAGAAAGGATACATGAAGGCTTTTAAAACTTGTCGAACTAAAATTGATATTAATTAATAACTGTATTCAATCATCTTTAATGGATAACAATATTGTATGCAATGCTTGATTTCAGGTTCCAACGGAATACTACAGTACAGATTTGGTGATCGCACTCAAGTCTTTGGGTTCATACTTAACTAAGGATTTAAAATCTGAAAAATTGAGCATAGAGGATGCGGTTAACTGTTTCGTCATTACATTTGAACTACCAAATTTGGGGTGCAGCGATTATTTTGAAATCGCATTACCGGATGTGTGTCTGGCTATCGGAGAACTACCTATCAAAGGTATGAATAAAATGTGCATTAGATTACAAGAGTATCCGAACAAGATTATTCGTTCAACAACTGGTTGTACTACTCTAGTGATTCATGTCACGGTAATGCATGCAAGATAGGAAGGTGGGAAGGACGGTATTACCTTAAGAAGTACTACTTCATCCATCTCGAGTATACTTTCAAATAAAAAAGATGTAACAGAATTGATCAAGAAATGACGGAAAATTCCGTTCATAAACATTAAAAATACAGTCCAACGTAGAACCTAATATTTTTTAAATGATATAATTATACTATTAATAAGTATAATTGTCCACTTATGTAAATTTGAATTTATTTATGGTACTAGTACTAGTAGTAGTAGGGACTTGAAAAATACATTTATTCCTTTAAGCCCATAATATTATTTAAACAAATTATTAAGCTCAAGCAAGTTACGTGGTTGACATGGTAGCTATTACGAAAATAATCATTAACATCATTCCCAGGTCAAGCAAGACTGGCCCGTATCTGGTCTCAATACTGCAAGGATAGTTTACGTAACATATTGGAGACGCTACAGCAACTCATCAGTTTGAGGGTAGTTTCGTGTAACTACCACGTGTTCTTCCACGTACAAGAAGACGGACATGTGACTGGGCCTACAAGGGTCTTAAAGGTCAGTTCAGAATACTGTTAAATACTAATCTTTACGTTTGAATATTTATTGGAATGCTGTAACGCCTGCTGTGCTTAAAACTTCATTGCTTAATGGTTTTGACAGAACCAGCCCGGATAGATTATATTGATATTGATTGTAATCTGCTGGCCAAAAATGAAGTTTTTTGTTATTCTACCAATCAACGAGCGGAAGTGATGACCATACGTTTGCAGCTTCATAATTGCCAAATAAATTGTATTTGTCAATCTATCTATATATATAAAAATGAATTGCTGTTCGTTAGTCTCGCTAAAACTCGAGAACGGCTGGACCGATTTGGCTAATTTTGGTCTTGGATTATTTGTGGAAGTCCAGAGAAGGTTTAAAAGGTAGATAACTTAATGAAAATGTTCGGAATTAAATAAAAATGACAATTTTGTTTTTCCTTTGATGTGTCCCCCGTCGGACGGATTCCTTTTGTTTGTTTTAAGTTTATTTTATACAAAAGTTTAGGTATTTTATTCTTCGATTAAAGCACTACGAAGTCTGCCGAATCAGTTAGTGGATTAAATAAAATTAAGAAAAGAAAAATTAAAACACTAAAACAAGTGGTAGAGCTGGTACTGGGAAATCTAAACAAATATGTTTGAAAAATTGATTTATAATATTTTTTTTTTTCTTTATTTTAAAATTGTATGCAATGTTATGCAATAAAAAGTTTGTTGGAAAATGTGTTATGCGGTGTAGTAATGCGGCTTCACAAAATATGAACTTGCCAAATCAACAAAAAATATGTATACCTTTTTTTTTATTGCTTACTTGCGTAGACGATCTCACTGCCCACCTGATGTTAAGTGGTTACCGGAACCCATAGACATCTACAACGTAAATATCGCCACCCACTTTGAGATACAAGTTCTAAGGTCTCAAGTATAGTTACAACGGCTGCCCTATCCTTCAAACCGAAATGCATTACTGCTTCACGGCAGAAATAGGTCGGGCGGTGGTACCTATCCGCGCGGACTCTCAAGAGGTCCTACCACCAGTAATTACGCAAATTATAATTTTGCGGGTTTGATTTTTATTACACGATGTTATTCCTTCACCGTGGAAGTCAATCGTGAACATTTACACCTATTAGCTAAATTATCATTGTTTTAACTAACGTTATGAATGGAGTTCGCTCTTCATTCGGTTGCGGTAACGATCTACCTACACCCTGTATAAAGTATAAAGAGTGAAAAATGAAATTGCGAAGTTAACTGTGTGGTTAGTGTGAGTTTCTTAACGTTCTCGATAGCGTAAAAGTTAAGTCAATTTTGTATGCAGTTGGAACAGCGTCCCTAGCGGCAAACGTAGGCAAACGATCCCATTCCATACAAATATGAGCTAACTTTTACGCTATCGAGAACGTTAAAAAACTCGCACTAAGCACACAGATATTTGTATTTTTTTTTTAAATGGATTTTAAGACCTGGTAACTAAGACCTTTAGGTCATGTCTTATTTTAATTTATATTCATATTTTTATGAAAAATGATATTATGGAGTGAAATGAAATGAAGATGATTAATTTGAGACATTAATCAACTGGGATGAAATTAAATGAAATGAAATGGGATGAAATAATAATATAATCTCAGTAAAATGATGGTCATTTACTAAGATTTTTTCAGTGGACTTTTTGTAGGATCCCGAGAAGTTACGTCCAGCGGCTTTGTTTCGTTTTCCCACATTTGTGCACTTTCACAGGCCTTAAACAGTTAATAAACCACCATTATTACACATTTAAACCCGAAGAAACACTAAATAGACAAAATAAAACAAATCACACAACTTCACTCCTCGCGTTCCCGCCAAAAAGTCCAGATATTTGTATTGTTACGTTTAGTAACAACATTGATTTATCTTTCTAATTGTTCATAGGTCCTATACTACGCAAGCATATTAGCTGGAGTTTTAGATTCAAACACATTACATGAGGAACCGATTGTGATCGCACACCAGCACGACCCACTCGAGAGTGTATTAGGACATTTGTACCCGCCTTCCTCGATGAAGGGTGCGAGAAACTCACAACTCAACGACCCGTTAGGTAAGTACTAGATTTCTAGTAGAGTATCTAAGTGGAGACGTCATTACGGATCCTCCCGATCCACTAACGGTGCCTTTAGGTACCTCAAGCACCGGTCCTCGTTCTCGTCGAACCCTTCGCTTGCGACGAAGGACTCGGCGAGTAAACTAATCCATAGACACACTCCACTGAGTTTCTTGGACTTGGGTCCGATGGGAACGGATGGACCGATTTTGACAGGACTTTCACTGATAGGTAGCTAGCTGATGATATAAGGAGTAACTTAGGCTAATTTTTTTAGACTTCGCGTCAACCGCGGTACGACAATAATCGCGGGTAACATCGCGGGACTCAGCTAGTACCAAATAAAACGCATCTTTAATAAATAGATAAATGTAGCGTATTGAGTGAAATGTCTATTGAAATGCCTTGCACCCCTCGATAATAATATGTATCGCAAACCGTGCGGATTCAATAAGCCAAATTCACTTTGTATTTGTGAAATAATTGGGAAAAAAATATGTTTTTGTGCAGCCGTCGAACTAGGCGTTAGTGTGCTAGACTCGAGAACGCCGTACCTGCCGTTCGAAGACTTCTACAACGAGCCGCTCAGTGACGTCATAGAAATGGATAAAGATTGTGAAGATTATGAGATGGTAATTAGTAGGCGTGAGTATTATTATTTTTTGCATACGAAAAAGTGGTTGAGTGTGGCTTAATCTGTAATAGTATCTGTTTTTTAATTAAAAATAAATTTAGCCGTACAAATATTTTTTAAAATACCAGTATAGTTGTTGAGATGTGCTTAAAAGTTTTAGGGGGTATTAATAGGTATCTTAGTCGCCTTATCATGCACGAATTAATAAGTTATTAGTTTGCACAGCGCACTATTTGTTGAACAAGAATTTTTAATGCATAAAAGCTCTTTGTGTGTGTACGTGCGTGATGCATGCGTGCGTTTGTGTGTGTGTGTGTGTGTGTGTGTGTGAGAGAGAGAGATCGCTAAGAGCGATCTTTTCCAGGTAACCATCAAAGTGGTGGAAGATGGAAAAGAATCGCTTGGAAACTAATTACACGCGGTGTACCAATCAATTGAAATATGTTTATATACACACATAATATATACATACACCTAAGTAATTGTGATATGTTATTTTCCAGCCAACACGAGGTTCTCGTTCCTGCGGCACCCGTTCGTGCTGACGGTGGCCAGCAAGTCGCTGGGGCTGTACTACGAGAACCGGCTGCGCATGTACTCGGAGAGCCGCGCCGCCCTGCTGCAGGCCGCCGTGGGCGCCGCGCGGCCCGAGCCCTTCCTGCGCCTGCGCGTGCGCCGCTCGCACCTCATCGAGGACGCGCTCGTTGTGGTGCGTACACTACACACTACATACCCACTGGTGGTACCCTGCCCTGCCTATTGCTGCCGTGAAGCAGTAATGCGTTTCTATTTGAAGGGTGGGACAGCCGTTGTACTAAGACCTTAGAACTCATATCTTAAGGTGGTTGGCGGCATTTGTAAATTCCTATGGGCTCCGGTAACCACTTAACAACAGGTGGGCTGTGAGCCCGTCCACCCGTCTATGCTATAAAAAAAATTTGGGATTTGGTTAAGCCTGTCCTCGAAGCAGTTCACCATGAAAGCACCACAATTCTGCCTATGTCTGTCACGGTGCAGTTGTGTACTCCAGTCTGAAGGCTCGGAGAGTTGTGACGTGGTGGTACTCTGAGAAATGTGTTTTCTCGTTTGTCTTCTATGTTGTTTAAAGTATACTAGTGGGACCACTAGTCATTGGGTCTTGGGAGCTTTAGTAAAAATTCGACTATAATTAATTGGGATTATAAGTTTGAACAATATTATAGTTCTATTGTCAAATACTATGATATGATATACTTCTATAATCACAGATTTCGTCAAGACTACACTATAGACAAATAATATTAAAGGCAAACAATGTTAACATGTTCTCAATTTAACCACAGACTTTGAGCATTAACAAAAGTTCAACAATAAACCAAGAGTATATATAATATGTATGTATGTGTGTGTCATGTTTTTTTTTATTGATTTAATGTATTATTAATGCATAATTAAAAAAAATTGCATTCTACACTCCTTTTCTATATTCTCTAAGTGTGGGATATTTCATACTCCTCCGTCCACGCCATTTTCGTAAAAATGGGTACAAAGTTTTTGCTTCACGTATTATTATATAGGTTTCATTTGATTTTAGCTGGAAATGATATCAATGGAAAGAGCTCTGGATCTGAAGAAGCAGTTAGTTGTTGAATTCGAAGGGGAACAGGGCGTCGACGAAGGAGGTGTCAGTAAGGAGTTTTTCCAACTAATTGTCGAAGAAATATTCAACCCGGACTATGGCATGTTCACGCACCAACAGGACTCTCGTAATGTGTGGTGAGTGTTACATGGGGCTTTTTATTTGTGAGCCATATTTTACTGTTCATGGTATCGGTTTGATTCTTTGTTAAATTTGTTCGTATAAAGTATAGGGTCCACAATTTGACAAACAACATTCAGTAATTAGATTGGAGTGTTGTGTAGAGCTGTTTCACAAGATTGCATGTTAAATATCTAAATTGTCACTTTTTTTGTATTGTACGCTACATGTGAGAATAACATAATAGATAATGATAACAATCTTGACAAATTGCAGGTTCAACCCCACATCGTTTGAAACGGAAGCACAGTTCACTTTGATTGGTATAGTGCTCGGTCTTGCCATATACAACAATGTTATTCTAGCAGTTAACTTCCCTATGGTTGTGTATAGAAAGCTGTTAGGCAGGAAAGGCTCTTTCGAAGACTTAGTTGATTGGAATCCTGTGAGTATCTTGTATGATTAATGTTGTATGGTATAAAGTCCATGGGCGAAAAGCCTGGGCCTACAAGGGCAATAAAAAAAATAACTGGTGAAGCTGTGGTAGTTGAAGTTCTTGACACGCCGATGAAGAAGTGTGAAGGTTGTTAAGTAATTAATTTCACCAACATTTTATTTGTACCAAGACATATCCTGTCCATGGGTGAATTCATATGTTCAGGTCTGAACTGTAGAATATTTTGAATATAAAACGTTTAAATATTTAATACTAGATAGATTGGAGGTTCCCCTGCAATGTTCTCCAAGCTCTATGTTAATCTTGATTGCTAATTTGTTCAAACCCCTCTACTATTGAGCCGTAAGCCTATATACCTTATTATATCATTGTAACTATACTTGAGACCTTAGAACTTATATCTCAAGGTGGGTGGCGCATTTACGTTGTAGATGATGGGCTCCAGTAACCACTTCACACCAGGTGGGCTGTGAGCTCGTCCACCCATCTTAGCAATTAAAAAAAAAGAAATCTTGCTTTGTTGAATTGAGGATAAATTTATTACGATTCATGGCATTTAATTGATGGTACTTTGAAAACACATGCCACTTGGGTGATGAACAAAACTAAATTTCAATATTCATAACAAAGAATAAGGTTATATTAATGTTTTACATTTCAGATTTTATACAACGGCTTAAAAGATATGCTAGAATACACGGGCGATGATCTAGAAGAGGTTTATTATCAGACATTCAGGATATGTTACCAAGACGTGTTCGGAACTAATATGTTTCACGAATTGAAAGTGAACGGAGATAATATTTTTGTTACACAAGAAAACAAAAAGGTAAGACAAGTTTTAGTTTAAGGTTTATATTTATTACACTTTTTTTAAATTTTTTTTTATTGACATTGTAGGCATTCGATCATACGGCCCACCTGATGGTGAGTGGTTACCGTCGCCCATGGACTTCAGCAATGCCAGGGGCAGAGCCAAGCCAGTGTCTACCCCAGTTATCACTGTGGTGAAATTTCGTATGTTCATGTTGTATGAATTTGTCTTTAACTTATCTGAACGTCCTTGTTAAAAATAATAAAATTATGTTACAGGAATTTGTAGATTTATATGCAGATTTTTTACTGAATGTATCTGTAGAGACACAGTTCAGAGCGTTCCGACGTGGATTTTTGATGGTCACCGATGAGAGTCCACTCGGTGCATTCTTCAGGCCGGAAGAAGTTGAAATGCTTGTTTGTGGAAGCAAGGTACTTATTTTATAACCGAGATTTAAAAGTATTTAGTAAACATCTATAGCTTACTGAGGTGCAGCCCACCTGTTGTAGAGTATGGACATTATTACATTAACGTTGCCGGTTATCTTGAATCATGATGACTCAATATTTCTGTTTCATTTTAAAACTTCATTTTATTGTACTTGAATTCTGTGCTAAAAGCTTTTTAAACATCATTAGCGCTACCTCTTGTCCGTTGACGGTACTAAATATACTACAAATTAATAGTCAACAGCTTTTGTTGCAAGTTTCAATTCATTGATAAACGAACACTCTTAGCACATATCAGATCTTACTTGTGGTATGTCGTATTATAGTCTCGCATCAGTAGGCTCAGTTCAAAGCCGCGAACCAGCGATTCGTATCTTATGAAGGGTGAAACAGCTGTTATATTTACTTATTTAATTTAGAACACGATATGTCTTGAAGTAAGCGCCGGTGTCCACATTGTCACGATGTCTATGGACTCCGGTAGCCACTTAGCGCTCGCAGTTCGTTATACTCTGGGTGCTAGGAGACTGCTTCCGAAAACGAAGACAGACGATAGTACTATTGACACCTTTGGTAATGGGACGAAAATAAAATAGATCATGATTTAAAAAAATCATTTTTTTGCAATTGCAATGTTTGAAGTGAAACTTCTTTAGAATCGTTGTGATTTCAAACTCGATGAAACGAAAAAATAAGTCATAGAGACACAAACACATAAATGTATAGGATTCAGCCGGCGAGAGAATGAGATGAAACACATTAGACGTTCTCGGTCTCCTCTTTGTGCGATTCTTCGTAACATCCCCACTATCGTCTACTAAACATTGTCCATATGTATGCTCCTGTGTAGTGGGATAGTCACAGTGTGACTTGCACACATCATTTTTTTATTGTGAACGCCGCCTCTAATTAATATTAATAATAATAAATTCATTCTTTTATGGCGTCTGCAAATTTTGTACCTACAAAGTTGTAAATTTTGGGGAGCGCGGTAATAGCGCCGCACCGGTGTGTGTGTGTGTGTAAAAGAAACGCCGCGCCCGAGCGTTCGTTGATCCGAGCATCAGCTGTTTTTGATTTTGTATTTCATCGCTGTTTTTTTTTTAAAAATAAAGTAATGTATTTTTTTATGAAACTATCGTTTCATTTAGCTGTATTAACATAATGGAGGGTAAATAATGCTAATAAAACGTTTTAAAAAATTTTTTTTTTTTTTAAATCAGGTTCGATTTTTTTTCTGTCCCATCATCATATGTTAGGTGTCATTAGTACTATCGTGACCTCGATCGATACCTCTTTTTCGGAAGCGGTCTCTTAACACCCAGTGCATATAGCAATGCAGTAAAAATGTCGTATATTTTTTTTAAGGTTTTCGATTTCCACGAGCTGGAAAAGTCGACAGAATACGATGGCGGCTACGCGTCCGACTCTAAAATCGTACAGGACTTTTGGGGCATCGTGCACAGCTTGCCGCTGGAGGACAAGCGGAAGCTGCTTCAGTTCACGACCGGGTCGGACCGGGTGCCCGTGGGCGGGCTGTGCAACTTGAACTTTGTGATCGCGAGGAACGGCCCGGACTGCGACCGGCTTCCCACCGCGCACACTTGCTTCAATGTCCTACTGCTACCCGAGTACGACACTAGAGACAAACTACAGGACAGACTCTTGAAAGCCATCAACTACTCGAAGGGATTCGGTTTGCATTGAAGCTATGCTATACGACGACGACGACGCAACGCAACGCGGAACTAACTCAACAAAATTAGCATAATATTATAGTCGAGGAGTCGCCACGATGATGTTTCTGTATCATTGATGATTAAAGTTTGTTTTATTTAAGCGTAAAGTTTTTTTTTAATTACTCTATTATGTCTGGCTGGGCAGCGTTCGGGAAGCTTCGTCAGGTCTTTTCGTCGCCCGTACCACAATGTCTGAAGACAAAGGTCTACAATAAGTGCGTTCTACCCGTGCTTACCTACGGAGCCGAAACGTGGACACTGACTGTGCGACTAGTCCACCAATTAAAAGTTACTCAGCGAGCTATGGAGCGAGCTATGCTCGGTTTGTCATTGCGAGACCGAATACGCAATGAGGTCATTCGGGCAAAAACCAAAGTGATCGATATAGCTTGCAGAGTTAGTAAGCTGAAGTGGCAGTGGGCTGGTCACATATGTCGCAGAACCGATAACCGTTGGGGTAGACGTGTTCTGGAGTGGAGACCGCGAACCGGCAAACGTAGTGTGGGACGCCCTCCTGCTAGACGGAGCGACGACCTGCGCAAGGCAGCTGGCAGTAACTGGATGCGTAGAACCGAAGATCGGGTTCAGTGGCGAGCTTTGTACTGCCGCAGGTTAATGATGATGATGATGATATTTATTAATTACTAGCTGTACCCGCCCGCTTCGCTGGGCATTTAAAATTAACTTTATTATTTCTCACCCCCCACAGAAATTATCATCATTAACGCCCCTGCAACTGGTGTAGGGAGTCCAACACTCATATAAATATTAGCCTATACATTAAGTACATGTATTTTCGACATGGATACCAAGTTTCAAGTAAATCGGATGCACGGTTCAGTAGTTATAACGAAAAATCTGTAAAAATCACTGTAGATTTATATATGAGTATAGATAGATTAGATAGGTACAGAATTTTTAGGGTAATCACCAAAGCTTACGTTTAGAAATTTTGACTAAATAAAAAAGCAATTTTTTTAACACGTTTTATTGATTCTAAAATATTAATACATAAATAGGAAAAATATATTTTTATATAAAATTACGGTATCCAGTAGGAACATTCCGCCGACACGTTTAAATTTAAATCCCAATTTCGTAGACAAAACAGTAACGCACAATATTTATCAATAGATTTATTTTCGTTTTTAACTAAATGTTTAGCATTTCCGATCTAAGTCCTATAATATCAAGCGAATATTTTGTGGGTAGTCATAGGTATAGACTTGAGTTTTAGATCGTGTACTACTAGTGGGAAGGGTCGTCGGCACGGAGGCGAGGCGGGTCGCGCTGTGACCGTCACATCAGCTGATGCCCGACGGTATGGCGTTCTGTAATTATTAAACTGAATTCTATGGGCTCCGGTAAACACTTAACACCAGGTGGGCCGTGAGCTCGTCCACAAACCTAAGCAAAAAAAATATATTAAAAAATACAAATACAAAAAGAAATCTCCGATAAACTAATGTGAGAATGTCATCTTCAGTACCTAGTCAATTAAATGAAATAAATATGCACTATTATGTTTAACTCGTTTAAAAATACAACAAAGGTTCTGACTTCAGTCAGTTAGTTAGCTTCAGCTAACACAGTAAATAAATCTTAATTCAAACGAATTCTGTAAGCTTAGTAAGTAAAATGTTACAGTAAACGTTACAAAATGAATATAATTAATAATAAAACCAAATTTATTATTAAGTGTGCGTGTACGTTTTGTAGACTGAATCGAGAAAGATTCCACAATAAACCTCATTTATGCATAAATGCGTCTCGTTGAGTTCAGTAGTACAATAAATTGGAAAACTCACAAAGCGATTATAATCAATATAATCGATTTTTTGAAATTTGGACGGAAAAGCACTTGTCATCTATAAATCTAAATTCATATATACAGAATACTATAAAAAATCATTGTTCATAAAACTATCTAACAAACATATTGAGCACGTTTAATTTTCAGGCTATTCAAAGGCCTATAATGTGATGATTTTTGCTGGTGGTAGGATCTCTTGTGAGTCCGCGCGGGTAAGTACCACTACCCCGCCTATTTCTGCCGTGAAGCAGTAATGTGTTTCGTTTGAAGGGTGGGACAGCCGTTGTAACTATACTTGAGACCTTAGAACTTATATCTCAAGGTGGATGGCGCATTTTCGTCGTAGATGTCTATGGGCTCCAGTAGCCACTTAACACCAAGTGGGCTGTGAGCTCGTCCACTCACCTAAGCAATAATAAAAAATAAAAAAAAAGCTTAAGATTCGCTCACCACGAGATACGCGGTTATAGTCTTCTTCGCTTTGAAAACAAGATCCGAACTGTTCGTTACCTGTGCCTGGCGTCACAGTTACAGGCCGCGGCAGTAATTGCCGCCGCGGCCGCCTGTCGCCGCGCGTGCCGCTGACACTCGAGCAGCTGCTGGTCGGGCGGCGCGTCCTGCAGACAGGCCGGCGCGCTGCCGCGACGCGACGATCGACACATCGACGCGTACGTCGGGGCGGCTATACGTTCCACCTGCACTCACAATAAAAAAAAAACAATTGACGGTAGTTCAAAACCTAAAAAAATGCATAAATAGGAAACTGAGCCAACAATTAATTTCTACTTTTTCTATCCTGTTTATACCGGTCAGGATATTACAGCGACGTTATAAAATTGTAGTACATATTATAAATCAGTTCTTGATGCGTATGCATTTTTCAAGTTAATCGGACGTTTTGATGTCGGTGAAAATGCTTCGTTCAAGGATTCTGTTACATAAACGATACATGCATACAAACAATGCTAATAACAACGTGTCAATAAATTTGAATGTCTTTTAATGGTCAAAGCAAATTCCAAAACGATCCACCAACGTAAAAAATATTGTAGCGGTCAAATTAATTACTATATAAGAAATTGTTTGAGTTGACCCCACCACCTACTTTATTACCGCCCCACTATTACCATCAGCACTCTGATGGCAACCCCAGTGCGTTTCCAGAGATCATTTTTATCATTTACGTTATGATCATGAACCGATTATGAACTGGTGGACAGTATGTATACCGGCCTTCAAACGGCAAAAAAAATGAAATCACATAATCAAAGATAAAATACTAGAAACGACCGCCTTTTTCTCACTTAGATTTAGTACAGTCAAGTAATTATTAATTTTGAAGTTAGCTTTGTTGGTGGAAATTTCCGAGTGATAAATTTTCTGAATCTATAACCATAATAGCAATCGAACCATTCATCTAAAAATAAATCATTAGAGGCACCGATAGCGCAAGTCGTTGTTTAATATTTTTTGTATTCGCGTTACTGCATAACGTAAGCCGCGAGTGGGTTCGAGCCGGTCTGTGTGCTTAGTGGAGTTTTTTAACGTTCTCGATAGCGTAAAAGTTAAGCCAATTTTGTATGCAGTTGGAACAGCGCCCCTAGCGGCAAACGAAGGCAATTTTATTTCTACCTATGCTGATAGCCTTGAGAGGCTCTTTTCAGCTTCGCCCTAACGTTTGTAGGTGAGCTAACACTGACCCTAGCAAGAGTAATGCTTCGCAGAATCTACCACCGGATCAGCAATGCGACACCCTGAGTTTCTCGCCTGGAAAACCCATGCGTGGTTAATTCATGGTTAATTCACCACACCGTGAATTAACCCATGTTAATTCACGGTGACCGGAGCGTAGGCAAACGATCCCATTCCATACAAATATGAGCTAACTTTTACTCTATCGAGAACGTTAAAAAAACTCGCACCAAGCACACTGCTCCCGAACCCCAAGCGATGGCGTACCTCAAAGCTGGTTCTCCTACGGGCACGCTTGTGTCGCGCGGGCGCGGTGTCGGCGCGCCTCCGCCGCGGGGGGGAGGCGGCGGCCGCGCTCGCGCCGAAAAGCCCGCGCTCCTCCGCCATACGGATCATATACTTTGCGTCCAAACGGGTTATCTCCTGCGGTCATTCTATCATTATCTCATTTCCACTGCTTACGTCACATTATAGAAGTATAACCGTTTCGATCTATGACCAAAATGACGGATATTTTCGCGAAAATCAATTTTATTCGGTCTTGTGTTTATTTTAATTGGAATTTCAAAAGTCTAGACGAAAGTTTTAGATCAATTACATAAGTTTTTTTATTTAAATTAAAACTGATTACAATTTGAAGCATTCAAATCGAAAAGGTACCACGACGCCTATTCCTGCCTATTTTTCGCCGTGAAGCAATAATGCATTCCGATTTGAATAATGGGACAGCCGTTAAACTATATAATCGAGACAATTCACATATATATGCAATAAAAACATGAATATCCAACCTCTTTCTAACGTCGATACGACCCAAATTATCGAGGCTGTAAATAAAACTTACACACCAAAAAAGTATCTACTTAGTCTCTTCTTTACCTTAAAAACACTACTAACAAATACATTTATTTCAAACACAGTATATAATAGTTTAAATGTAGTGAAGCTAATATTGCTTGTATATACTACCTTCCTCTGGATGAGGCCGAGATAACAACCGTCTCGGTCCAGTATGTAGTTAATATCTAAACCATTCCCTAAATTAGGCAACGTCGCGATTTCGAATAAATCGCAATTCGGTACCTGTAATGACAAAGAACAGACTTATGAATTTCGAGACAAAAATCTCCTATTCACATTTAACTTCATTAGTAAATATTACAAAAATATCCGGATTATCCTTGTCGGGATCTCCCGGGACCGCGTCATCGGGGACTGCAGGTATAGGTCGGGCTTTGTTAGTCCCAGGCCTTGATCCGGGACGAGATGAATCCGCTTGTTTTCTTAACACTGTATCGTCGGTCTGAGATCTCCGTCTTGGCGGCGACGGTCCAGACGTGCGTCGCTTTGGTGAAATTGAATCAAATTCATCATCCGTTTGATCATCTCTGTCTCCTTCCGAGATTGTGTTGTCTAATGTTGTTAGCGACTCAATGTTTTCTATTCCGTGCTTTAATGGACTCTGCAATAATAAAAATTAGTTTTGTAAAGTGGCCAATAAGAAAATATATAGAGGGGTGAAAGGATATTTAGTTTAAGCGACATTTTTAAAACTTTATTTAGGAGAGCTATTTAAAGTTTAAAATTTGGAAAAA